GCTACAGACTGTAGCGTGTGCTACAGACTGTAGCGTGTGCTACAGAGTATGAGACTCCTGGGATCGCATACTCCATAGCTGGCTACTCAGGAGAAAAAGGAGTGGGAGTAACTTACTAGGATGACTTGTGACCTTCCCTGCCGGCTTCCCAACTGATTTTGCTTGTGGGAAACCAGCAGGGAAGGTCACAAATGGCAATCAGGTGATGTGGCTTGCTGCAACGTTGTAATTGCGAGCTGGGCACCCGAGCGCCCGGATCGTGATCACGACCACAGGGACGCTACGACAGCTGGAACTTTGAAGACTGGTTGTAAGTCCATTTTTTTCAGGGCTGCTGTAACTTTGAATAGTCGCTGAACAATAAGCCAAGGGCCACCTGCAGTCCAGTCTTGAATGGCCAACCGATAATTGTTACCAACTTCCAAACTTGCACTGTGCTTTGTTTCACTGGTATCTTTATTTTACCTTCCTGAGGGCTTCTAAAACAAACAGACTGGCATAAAGGTTTACGCATACCTTCCTCTTCCTCCTCTTCTTCCTCTTCCTCCTCTTCATCATCTTCTTCTTCACTATCACGTCCAAGCTCTTCCTCCTAAAAATAACAATAGGTTTGCCTTTGAAAGTAAATATCTTTGCTCCTGTTATTATCACATCTGCTTCTCATTTTCTGCTCAGTGAGCAAAATGTTTTAAGACAAACACTGATGCTAATATATTGTAATCCAGCCTTCAACTGTTTGTTACCATGCTACTAGCACACAGCGAGAACATAAATAGAACAATCCAAGGTTCATTATTTCAGCTTTCAGGTATCAGGCAGTTGTGCCTTATCTACATGAAACCACTGGGTGAGGTCATCTGCTGGTTTTGAATTCAGTATCATCAGTATGCTGATGATACCCAATTATATCTTTCAACCCCAGGCCAGCCAAGTGAGGCTATCAAGGGTCTGTCCCAGTGCCTGGAGGTTGTTTGAGTTTGGATGGGGAAAAACCATATCCGGTTCAATCCTACCAAGATTGAGTGGCTGTAGGTGTTTTGGCCACCCAGATCTTGAGATATTCCACCTTTACCCTTGGATGGGATAGTACTTCCCCTTCAAGGTTGGTGTACAATCTGGGGGTCTTCCTGGACTCACAGGTCCTCCTTAAAGAGCAAGTGGCAGCTGTGGCCAAGAAGGCTTTGCACAACTGCATCTGGTGCACCAGTTGCTCCTTTTCCTAGATTGGGTGGCACTTCAGATAGTCACTCATGCCCAAGTCACCTCGTGCCTTGACTAATTCAACATGCTGTACATGGGGCTGCCCTTGAAGACTACCCAGAAGCTTCAACTGGTCCGGAATGTAGCAGCGTCAGCAGTAAGGGGCATGTATTGGTATGCCCATGTAACTCCTCTGGTTCGTGAACTGCACTGGTTGCCAGTTTGCTTCTGAGTGCGATTCAAGGTGCTAGTTGTTATCTATAAAGCCCTACATGGCATAGGGCCTGGTTACTTGAGGGACCACCTGTCTCCCATAGCATCTGTCTGGCTGATTTGATCCTGCAGGACTGGCATACTCCAAGGACCCAGGAAGCGCGCCTTCTCTGTAGCAGTGCCTGTCCTCTGGAACAAGGTTCCCACCAAGATCCAGATGGTCCCCACTCTACTGTTGTTTAGAAGAGCTGTGAAGACCTGGCTCTTCACCCAGGCCTTTGGTGAGGAAGAGTGAGACCTCCTCACTTTATCACGCTTGTCATCTCTTTTATGTTTCATTGATCTTATTGTAATTTCTTTGATTGTTGTGAGCCGCTCAGAGTCACTGGGAGTTGGGTGGCATAGTTCATAATAAATAATAATAATAATTCCAATTGTCCGCAACTCAAGTATTACTCAATGAACGTGGGAATTTTTTAGGCAAGGCAAGCAGATAGATCCAGCTCCTTTTCTTGCAACTTGATAAATAAGCATAAAGATTTTACTGCAGAGTAAAAAACCAAACAATATTTTAAACCAACCTCTGCACTAATTTCATCTTCTTCATCTTGTCCTCCTTCATACTCAAGCAAATCATAAAGTGATTCCTCCTCACCATCCTCGTCCTCATCCTCATCCTCATCTTCATCATCTTCGTCTTCATCATCTACTAAGAAAGATAGAAGAGTTTTATACCTTGTTCCCAGATATATCAGGGAAGCTGTCATAAAATCACAACAATATTAATTCTTTTATTTATAATAACTTTATTAAATTTTAAAAAACAAAGATAAAAACTAACAAGAACTAATAATCAAGAAAAGGAATAGAAGAATAAAGAGAAAGAAGGAAAGCAGATGTACAGAAAAATAAAGAAAAATAAACAAATACAAAAAAGAATGACTTCCGACTTCTTTTACAGCAGATATAAGTAAAACATACATTAAACTCTTACTCTAAGATTACAACTTACTGTAACATCCATTTTTATATAATCTATTAATTTTATTAATCATCAAATCTATATATCATAATTTCATTTTTTTTCTGTTTCCCACAAAAAATCCAAAAGGGGCTTCCAATTATCATTAAAATTAGTCAATGTCTTTTCTCTAATCAAAGCTGTCAATTTCATCATCTCAGCCAGCTCCATCAACTTTACCATCCATTCTTCCATCGTAGGTAATATCAAGTCTTTCCACCTTTGAGCATATAAAAGTTTCATCATATATAAAAACAAAGATCCATGAGATTTTTCCAATTGTTTATCCACCAGCCCCAAAAGAAATGTCTCTGGTTTCAACTGTATATTATTCTTCAAAATCTTCTGAATTAATATATATATTTGAGTCCAAAATGTTTTAGCTTTATTACATGTCCACCAAAGATAAAAAGTCCCTTCTTGTTATTCACATTTCCAACATGTATTTGAAGTCCCTTTGTCCATTTTTGACAATCTTTCCATTGACAGATACCATTGATACATCATTTTATAAAAATTCTCTTTAAGATTATAACATAATGTAAACTTCAACCCTTTCATCCACATATTTCCCATTGTTCCATTTGTATATTGTACCCAAAATTTTAAGCCCATTTATCACACAATCTTTAACTCACTCATCTTCTGTTTCAAATCTCAACAAAAGTTTATACATTTTAGCAATAAGATGTTCATCATTAGTACGTAACTCAATTTCAGATAGTTTTATCATGTTCAAAACCATATGTCCTGTTACCAACTTTTATCAACTCTACTAATTGTACATTTGAAAACCACTTACATACAGTGGGGCAAAAAAGTATTTAGTCAGCCACCAATTGTGCAAGTCCTCCCACTAAAAAAAATGAGAGAGGCCTGTAATTTTCATCCTAGGTATACCTCAACTATGGGAGACAAAATGGGGAAAAAATC